CGAGAAGTAAAAACACAGAACAAAAAGTGGGCTTTTTTTAAAAAGTGCACAGTAACATGTAACTGTTTCATTCAGGTACAATAAACTCCCTTGCAGAGATTATCACTGCTGCAGGTTCTTGTTGGCATTGCTGACGTCAACACTGCTGTTAGTTGGTTGTTAGTTGGGGCGGGCCGTAAGAGATCGGACTGGGTGTTTTTTTTTGTATGCGGCGCCCTTGTTAATGGGTGGGGCTTTGTCTCTCTTGTTCCTCCGTTCCCTCCTTCCTTGTCTTTTGCTTCGCGCGTGTTCGGAGAGAGATTAAAGGCGCATAATGATAAAAGTAATGCGTTAGTCTTAGCTGTCCGAGGCTAGTCCGATACGGCCGCCAGCTAGGACAAAAGCTGGCGAAGCAGGCCAGGTGTGTTGAGTCACAATGCCATGACAAGAAGCTGAGCGGGAGGGTATATGCTGCTGAGAGGGGTTTAGTTGGTAGCCTGATGGGAAACCAGGGTAACATGTTATGTGCACCATTGTTTGAAAAAAGCCACTTGTTTTGTTTGTGTTTTCTTCTCAGATGAGGTTTGTTAAGTCAAATTGTCAACTCGTGCCACCGCGATGAGGAATCTTCCACCTCCAGAGGAGGTGACGAGGGCATGGGTTCGCAGGGTTCGGGTACCCCCAAGGCAAAGACCGGAAGCAAGGGGTACAGGAGGCTGTTCGTCGTAATGTCCGACTGTTCCAGGTATCAGGAGAAGTTCTGCCTGCTGTACATCTATAATCAATTAATGTTTGTTATTACACGAACTTTTGTGTAAGCTGAGCTGGGTAGGGTCGACGTAATTGTGAGGACTGTGTTAAAGTTGTTGAAAGGCGGGATTGTTACAGGGAGTATCTTGGCGTGGTGACTCGGTTTTCAGCTGTATTGACTCTTTGTTGATGGGTGCGAGGTTGAGTCGCAGAGAAAGCGAGTTAATTGAAGAGCAGAAAGTGTGAATGTCTGTGCTGTGGGGAAACCCATTTATTCGACTTCTCAGGCTGACGAGTGGTGGTGAAGAGTCAAGAATGTGCTGCTGTGGAAAAGGTGGATCCAGTCTTGCTTGCTGGGTCAGAAGGTGTAGTCTGAAGACACTTGTTCATATAGACGCAGGTCGGTAACTTATACTCAGTTAGTTTATAATAGTTATTTATCTGTGGATATTGATAATATCCTCTAGAAGGGATAGATGTATTTGTAACAGACGCCTGGGTTAAATGCCTACCAGAAAAGGCAGTCATGAAATCAGCACAGAATATCAAGTAGACGTCCGGTCGCTACAAAACGTGACAAAAGCTCCTGCTTCCTCCGGGTTTCATTCCTCCTCCTGCTGAACCCGCCGCGTTTGCTAACTAACCTGTGCAACTGACCGTGGGTAACTAAAGCCGTGTAACGTGAGCCGTGTCAGGTGACCTGGACGACCTGTGAGGTGACCTTTGTGTAAGTGGACCTGTAGTGACCCTGTCTTTTCTCTTTCTGCCCTCGAGGTTTAGTGAGAGGAGCTCCTTCCAGGCGCCGGCGGGTGGGAGGGTGAACCAGACGTCAGCTCAGGACTTGAGACTCAGTCAGCGCTTACTCGTGACGTCGGGTGTTTGGTGGGGCGGCTGCTGGCGGGGGGTGGAAGGAAGCACGCATCAATCACAGAACACACTACAACACACACACACACACACACACTAACACTAAAGCACAGTGGCGAGAGTAAAACACTACGACACCGCGCAGGTTTGACACGACTCGCCGGTCACCTTCTGTCTTTTGCACAAGAGAACAAAAAAATAAAAACCACTCGGAGGCGAGAAACGGACTTCGTGACTGCGACCACCTCGACTTCTCCTCTGCTGACCGCATGCAGAAGCTTCAGTTTGACATATCAGGACCAAACTCCAAACACTTCCAAAATCTCTGCATTCCATCTTTTCTTTTTATTATAATAATGGTGATTTTTTTTTTTCTGAATAACATCTTTTTATTTTTGTTTCGATTTTTGTGGGGGTGAAAATTTGACGCTTCGAATGGAAACTTGAGTTCATGTTTCTCACAACAACAACTGATAATGCCATGAATGTTTTGGGGGCTTAGTGACGGTTTATTATTTTAATTTTGGTTAGTTTTTTGTCTTAAGTAGCCATTCCAGCAGTGCCAGGTTGAGGGTGCGTTTGAATCTGAATCTCTCTGTGCCAGCGTGCCAAAAGCGGGTGGAGTCTAACGAACTGCACAGAGCGAAGACGGGACACGTTCTTCATACAATCGACATGTTTTTAAATTCTCTGATTTGAAATTCATTCCTGGAGAGCTTGCCAAGTTACGACAGAAACCTTTCCATGTTGTTTATGTTTTGTTTTACATTTGGAGAGGGACTTTACTTCCTGCTTCTCTTGCACCCCCCCCTCTTACTTTCCTCTATTTGGGGGGTGTTTTATATTTCCATCTTCAGGCGACGTTGCACGACAGCTTTACTGCTACAACCGAGACACTGTGCATGACGCTTTCTCAATCCTGCACCAACGGAAGAGATCAGGATCACGTTGATGTGACATAAAAATATATATAGAATTATTTCCCTGAACGTGTCTGCAAGCATCTTTTCTCCACACACACACAAGAGCAACACTAAATTGTTTACTGGAACAAGTGTGTATGATTTTAGCTACAGGTTTGCAGTGCAGCTGTTTTTATATATATATATATATATATATCAACTTTCTGTCCAGGGAAGTCACTCAACTCTGTTCTGAATCCATCATCTTACTTTTGCTGCTGGTGGCCCTTTTGTTCAGTTTGTTTCTTTACAGAAGGACTGTACGGCCAGAGAAAAGGCGATATATTGTTTAATTGCTATGCAAGAAGCAGTTTGTACAGATTGTAGTTGGTAGCAGCTAACCAAAAAAAAAAAACACAAATAAAAAAATAAAAAGAGGAACACTTAAGTGCCAGAGAACTGTTTGAGCAGATGGACGTTTCTTTACTTTTTCTTTTAAGCTTGACTTTAAAAAAAACACTAATTACATCATAGTCAAACTAAGATGCCAAGCAGGAAAAAATGAACAAAAAAAGGATAAAACTGTTCAGGTCAGAGTCTCCATTCTCAGTGATACAGCGCCTCCTGCTGGTCGTTGCCTTACACAAACCTGTTGTCACTCTTCATCGGTACCAGTGCTATTATTATTTGTATTTTTTAGGGGGGGAAGATGATGACAACAAAGTAAATAAGAAACAAGTTTATTTGAAAATGCAATAAATATTGTATATTTACATTAAGGAATATGGTAATCATAGTT